CCTCCCCCTGCAGTGGATTGTCAATACAATGTCATGTGATTTCTTGACTGCTGCTTCCATGGACATTGCTGTGGCTCCAACTAAAATGAAATCATTCACAACTTCAATCTCTGTTTATCACATGTTGCTTACTGGCCCAGTTTTCAAGATTTTTGTTTTCTTTATGTTAAGGTGTAATCCATACTGAAGGCTGTAGTCTTTGATGTTGATTAGTAACTGCTTCAAGTCCTCTTCATTCTCAGAAAGCAAGGTTATGTCATCTGCATATCACACATTGTTAATGAGCCTTTCTCCAATCCTCATGCTGCATTCTTCTTCATATAGTCCAGCTTCTTAGATTATTTGCTAAGCATTCAGATTGAATAAGTATGGTGAAAGGATTGAACACTCACACAAACCACCCCTGTGTACTGTATTTTTCACAAATAACATATCCATGTAAATAACATGCTGACATACATAACTCTCGGAAATGACAAAATTATGAAAAAATTATGCATGGTGCACTCATGCACATGCCACATATATCTTGTGACATTTCCAGAAGTGAATTTCAACCTCATTTACCCTCATTCAATGTCTCAAAATGTCACTTTTGATTATATTTATATAATAAAGATATAATCCAATGTCAAGAAGTCCTGGATGTTTGGTAGTATCCTGGTAATTAGAAAATAAACAGTTGAAGCTGCATTTGTTGTTATTAATTTAAGTATACAATTATATCCCTGTCAGTTTTTAAGGTGCTCTGGTGATGCAGTGCTTAAAGTATTTGGCTACTAACCAAAAGGTCAGCAATTTGAACCCACCAGTCACTCTGTGGGATAAAGTTGAGATACTTCTGTAAAGATTTTACAGCCTTGGAAATCCTTGAAAAGTTCTACTCTGTCCTAGAGGGTTGCTGTGAGTCATAAATGATTCAATGGCAATGGGTGCTTTTTTCATTATTATTTTTATTCTTTGGTCTCTTTTGAGTCATCAGTCAGAAATTGGAACTGAAGCCTGTTGTGTAATTTAAGGTTATGTGTTAACTTGGCCGGGCCTGGTTTTGAGTGGCTGGGTAGCTGGATGTAGTATTCCCCATGATGAGACTGGTAGAATCTATTGTAAGCAGCTGAGTAGCTGCCTTAGGGATGTGGTCTGCTTCCAGTATGTAAGATGACACTTTGGGAAAAGTCTGGGGCTATTGGCACATCTGGATCCTGCATTTTGCCAAGTCTTCATCTCAATGGATTGTGTGCTGATCTTGAGACTACTAATGGACTTGAATTAGTGGTCTGATGTGTTGCTTGATAATTTGGGGACTGTGCCATTTTACATGTCAACCTTGGGTTTGTCAGCCTTAGCAGTAAGCAGCTGTCTGAGTTAAGAGAAGCCTCCAGCTTCAGTGGGCTAGGAGCAAGAGGCTAGAGCTGAAGCCCAAAGTCAAGGGGCCTTCACCAGCACTTTGAACTTGGACTTCTAGCCTCCTAAACTATAAGAGAATAAATCCCTGTTTGTTAAAGCCATCCACTTGTGGTATGTCTGTTATAGCAGCACTAGATAACAAAAACACCCAACCATCAATCATGTGCTATCAATCGGAAATATTAACAAAGGGAAGCCTGCACTGCCATAAATGTCATTGAGTAGCTATCAACAGGAATCTTGATTCGATGTGCATTGATATAATTATCACAGTGGTCTTCTGACTCTGCCTTTTAACTGGAAGAGTAAACAAAGTAACAGACTGATACATGATTGCTCTTGGCTCAACAGTTGAATGCAAAAATCTTAGGAGATCATTTTAAGTGAAACTATTAAACAAACTATGTTAGGTCCACGTATTTCATAGTCTAATTATGTCATATTAGTAGCAATGTCTTTGATCAATGATTATGAATCACCTTAGTCATGTGGTCTTGAGCAGTATAAAAAGACCCTTGCTTCTTGTACACTTCACATTTGAATTTTGTGACCTCTTCACTAGAACCAGCCAATTATCGATTATATTGTGCACATTTTTTTCAGTTCATAATCTTAGAACTCTTTAGGATCATGTCAGGAATTAAATGCAAACCCTGCACTGCTGACTTCAAACTGAAAGTCATTGAAAAGGCAGAAGAAACAAGCAACAGTGCGCCAGTGAGACAGTTCCAGGTTGGAAAATCATCTATTCACAAACGGAGAAAGGAGAAAAAAAGAGCTGGAGAAAATGAATCCATGAAAACATACATGTTGTGAGCTCAAAGCAAAATGGATGGAGTTGGATAACAACTTGAAAGAGTTCATTATTTCTCAAAGGAAACAAAATCGAGCTGTATCTACTGTCTCAATTCAGATTACAGTGAAGCTTCTGGAAAATGAAAGAGGAATCCCAGATTTCAAGGCAGGTTTCACCTGAATTTCTAAATTCATGAAAAGGTTTAGAAATGAAATTTCTATGAGATCAGTTTTATCCCAGTAACATTAAATTTGTTGGAGAGGAAAACAAAGAGAGAGAGAGAGAGAGAGAGAGAGAGAGAGAAATTGAAGTCAGTGACATCTGAAACAAATATTGGCAAAGTTTAGGGAAATAATGTGTGTGTGGTGGGGTTGCATGGTTTGCAAAAAAATGTATAATATGCACATTATTGCATAAAAATATGAAAGTTACACTAAAGTGTTCATTAGATTAAATGCAATGGGGTGGCCTGGATTGGATCCTGGAACAATGAAAAAAAAAAAAGGTCACAGCTGAAAAACTAATGAAATCCAAATAAAGTCCGTAGTTTAGTTAATTGTATCATACCAATGTTAATTTCTTAGTTTTGACAAATAGTTATATAAGATATGAATTTTAGGGCAAGCTGGGTTAAGGGTTTACAGGGCCTTTTGATGCTATCTTTGTAACTTTTTCTTGAATATAAAATTATTACAAAATAAAATGTTTATTTTTTAAGAAATGTTAACTAAAACAACTCTAGTATATATTGCAAATTTTAAAAGATCAAATTATGAGTTATGCCAATGGCTCACTTGGGATTATTTTGCCTTCTATGTAAGATCCTCAAATATCACTGAATTTTATGGTTGGCTCATAATTTAATCTTCTGGACAATGACAATGACTCTCAATGACAGGAGTAATAATATTTTCTTTCAAAAATGACTTCTGCATCAGTCTAGATAATGCCCTGGTCATTTCATCCCATGTTCAAATTTCCAACTTCATAATGTTTTGTTTACTATTTGGTAACCAGAGTTGTAACAAATATTTCAGGCTCTGAACATGTTTGGGTCAAGAAAAATACGATGTTTTCTGCTTTGCTTATAGTACACAATGACTCTCAGCATTTTGAGATTATTTTGATATTAGGTTCTCATTAATTTTTTATTTTCTGCATTTTCCTATGCATAGAGTGTCGGAAAGAAAACAACTTGGACTCTTGTACAGTAATAAGAAATAAGCAATAAAAATATATTTAATAGACTGGCCACAATACTATTCTGATATACTAAGAATATCTACTAAAGGCAGTTAAAAAAAAAAAAAAAACCTCAGACTCACTGCGATGGAATCTATTTGACTCATAACGACCCCTCCTTGGGTTTCTGAGGTGATATCTCTAAGGTAGTAGATTGCCCAATCTCCCTTCAGTGGAGCAGCTAGTGGGTTTGAACTGCCAGCCTGCTGGTTAGCTATCAAATGCCTTGGGTCCTACTCCACCAGAGCTCTCAAAGGCAGTAATCCAATCGTAGTAAAATATTAGCAAGATTAAACTAAAAATATCTCCATAGTAACACCCTAATATCCTGATTAATGAGAGATGGGTACTTTTGGGAGCTCTGGTAGCCTAGGGTCTAAGGCATTTGACTGCTAACCAAAAGCCTGGAGGTTCAAACCCACCAGCTGCTCCTCCGAAGGAAGCTAGGGAGATCTACTTCCCTAGTGATACCGCCTCAGAAACCCAAGGAGGGGTCACTATGAGTCGGGACTCCACGGCAGTGAGTTTGGCTTTTTGGTTTTAGGTACACTGATGGAGATAAACATCTATGTTTGTGTTAATATTCAACATTAGAGTAATCTAACCATATCAAGCTAAATGATAATAACAGCTTTATGGACTGGTGAGGAAAAGAGAGGTCCAGTATCACAAAGGAACCAAGGAGGACTGTTTTCATAAGGTGCAGTTCCAAACATTCAGTCATAAGTGAGGGGTGGAAAGGCTTACGTGAAATGTAAAAAGAAGGTTTCTAGAAATCAAGTCTTGGTCGTTAAGAAGAAATTATAAGGCTGGCAGAGTAGTACAGGACCACATGGAATGGCCGTGTGTTTTTCAATGCTTAAGGGTAGAGGAGAGTGGGACCTGAGATCCAGCCATTTTCTGCTAGTTGTGCTCAGGCTAAGAAAAGGTACTGTCTTTTTAATTTTCACAAAGGCTCACTTCAAATTAAGAGTTGGATAAAGCCCAACTCCATTATTGGAGCCTGATGGTTTCCCTTCTCTCTGTGCACTACACTTCTCAGATCCTGACACTGTCAATAATACTTTTGTGCCATAAAATTTAATTCGTTGCCTCCTGGAAGCTTTTGAGGGCAACCATTCCATAACAGCTCTTTGGACCCTTCCACTTGAATTTCCTTGTCTTTTACAGGTTTGACTTCATTGCCCGAGGTTTTTTCACTCTGTTTCACCAAGAGTAAAGATGCAGACACCCTTACAGTTTCCTCAATTAACATAAAAATTCCTCTTAGTTTCTATTGGCACTCAATTCTAAATGTCAATTGCTGACGCCCACCTCGGCAGTAGATTCTCTAATGCTACGCTACCTTTTCACCTTCCCTCATTGTTATTTTCTCCAACCAATGAGAGGTCGTTCTCCGCCTCATCCGGCCAAGAGCAATAAGGCGCATGCGCGTGTCCAAGACTGCGCGTGCGGAGAAAAGATCAAGTGGGCGGCTGTCTGTGACGTTTAAACGGCGGCGCAGTTGTTCAGTTCCAGCCAGTTCCGCAGGCGAGAAGCCTATAATAGCACTGCAATGGTGCGCTGCGGTTGCGTGTTGTTCCGAAAGGTTGGTGCCTAGTGCCCCTCTGTTGCCGTCTAAACGTCCCTTGAAGACTCAGGTTCACCCTTTTTTCATTCTGGGCATCTCGTTCCTGCTTGATTCTACCATAACCCCTTCCTCAGCTCTTCTGGAAGTCGAGGTTTACCAGTAACGGGTGGGAAAGGTTCTTGGGCGCAAGATTTTGAGTTGTTTGAGGGAATCTTCTGCAAGTGGCATGAGGAGCTGGGATACCAGCCTGCCATTTAGACACTCATTGTGATATTTCCATACCGTTTGGCCCAAATAGTGTAGTGTTTTCTGTTTTGCCTCACTTTAATATTATGTACAGCCAGTTCTTATCCTGTATATTTTTTCCTCGAGTGCATTGTTTTTAAGGTCTTCTTAAAAACATACACGCATTTCCTGCCTCCACGCGGGAAATTTAGATCAATTTTTGCAAAGTATCAGTTTTAGAATCGTTTCTGTAGAAATATTATAGTTGCTTCAGATTTAAAAAAAAGCCTTCTAGAAGAGCTTTACTAGTAATGTTTTTTTTAACACCTGTTGTTTTTATGTTTTGGACGTTACTTTACTATTCAAAACAGAGTGAGCTTATCCTGAATCTGATGAGTCTAAAGCAGTAAAACACATTGAGCCTGAACTTTAGAAATGGGAGCTTTCTTTTTTATCAGAGGAAAAGGCATAATTAATAATATTTCTGAGTGAAATTGTATTTTAGACAGCTTTTATGATCCAGAAAATAGAGGAAAGGAGACTTGTGATAGGAAGTACTTTGGCATATACATCCTTTAACTGTCAAAGCAACTCCTGTTTGTGGATGGGTTATTAAAGGCTAGTTTTGTAACCTTAGCACCATGAGCAATCACTTCCAATTAATGTTTGCGAGGGGTATCTGTGCAGTTATTAACGATGCATTTCTGACCTAGCCTCTCAGAATCAAAGCACATGTTTATAATCCTCAGAGAATATGCTGGCGAGCCTTTAGGTTATCACTCACATTTTGAACCTTTGCTACCCTCCCATCCACATCAGTCTCAAATCTTGAGTGCGTTGGAAGCACCAAGGGAGCTCTTGCTAAATATGCTTGCTTGACCTATCCTTATCCCCTCATCGAGTGCATATTAGAATGGTCAGCAGGGTATATGTATCGTGAGGGGAAAAAATAATACGAGATGTTTAATAACCCATCCACAAACAAGGCATGAGTTGCTTTGATAGTTGATGTATCCTAACTGGCTACAGACATCGAGATTATGAATTTAACAAATTAAGAAGCTCTGGTAGCCTGAGAGATTAGTACATAGGATCTTTATGTGCAGAAAGTTCCCAATTTTATGAGGGAAACACTAGGAAACAAATGCTTTATGAGGTGCAATAGAGATTTAATCAAATTGCTGAAAGATTTGTAGTGATAAATGCAATTCAAGTCAATGGTAAATGCTGATTAGAGGAAGTAAGTAAAATATCACAGAGAATATGACGTTTTAGGTAGGTTTTTGTTGAAAAAGAACAAATGGTATTCTAAGCAGAGGAAAGCATGAGAAGAGTGTCGTGAAAGCCTGACATACCAAGTAGTAAAGAAGCAGAGAAGAGGAGAGAGGAAGGCGTTAATTGAATGGAAACTGAGAAGAGTAGGTTAAGGGCTTTGAATATATTACTAAGAATTTCAGACTTTATTTCATGAACTGTAAAAAAAACAAAAACCCAGGTAGTTTTTGAGTAGGGAAGAAAACATTATAGGTCAGGTCAGTTTTCAGGAAAATAGCAAGATGGAGGATGGATTCAGGCAGGGATGACTAGAGACTGAAAGAGCAGTTAGGAGGTAATGTGATGGTCAAGGTATAGGGACAGTGGTACTGGAAAAGAGAGATAAAAGATAAGGCTTTGGGGAAAAAGGGTATCATCTAACTTCCATTTGTGCAGTCTCGATGAAAAAATAAACTAAGGTTCTGTCACTTGCGAGAACACTGGGGGAACAGGTTTTGCCTGGAGTAAAGTTTGGGTCTGTCATGTTGTATTTGAGGTAACCTTTTCAATGGAGTTCTGGTGGTGTAGTGGTTAAAGCATTTGGCTACTAACCAAAAGTTTGGCAGTTTGGACCCACCAGCTGCTTTACAAGATGAAAGATGAGGCAGTGCATGTCTGTAAAGATTTACAGCCCATAAACCCTATGGGACAGTTCTCTGTTCTACAGGGTCACTGACTTGGAATCTATTTGATGGCAGTAGGTTTGGTTTGGTAATCTTTTCAACTAATACCTCTGAACAAGTTACATTTTGATGGGGTATTAAAATACAAATTAGATACAGACCCTTTCTTAGTTGCTGTAGACTGTTAAAAATCTTGCATCCTGGTGGAGATGTCCAACAAACTGATAGAAACTATCTCACATGGGTAATAGTTATATCCATGATGCTGGATGAGATCACCCAGGAGAGAAAGTCTATTTTGAAAAATGGGCCAAGGTTAGAGGCTCTGAGGATAGATAGGATAATTATTGATCACTGTAAAAGAGGGTTGGCATTTAGAAGTAATTAAATAGGAAAAAGATCAGATAAGAGGTGAGTTGAGAAAATGGTATATAGAAACCATTATTATTATTATTATTTTAAAAAAACCATGTTTTAGCAGCAAAGAGAATTAGAAAGGAGTTCTAAGTTGGTAAACACAGTTGACATTCAAATACTCTTTCTCTTTTTTTTTTTTTTTTAAAGTATGGAAACTTCATTGATAACGTAAGAGTCTTCACCAAGGGAGGAAGTGGTGGAATGGGCTATCCTCGATTAGGTGGAGAAGGTGGAAAAGGTGGTGACGTCTGGGTTGTAGCTGAAAAAAATATGACTTTAAAACAACTTAAAGACAAATATCCTCAGAAAAGATTTGTGGCTGGAGGAGGAGCGAACAGTCGGTAAGTTCTTGCTGAATGACTTAAATTCTGTAAAATCAATGCTTCCCAGAAGACAAAAGTTATGTTTGTAACTGAGCAAAAGTCTCCAGTGTTCTAATAAAAATAAAATGCTAGTACTAACAAATTGTTTGGAGCTTTTAAATTTGTTATCCTTTTCTTCTCCCAATGCCTGTATTCTTTCTCACTTTCTCTGTAGAAACAGAAAATAATCAGAATCCCCAATGGTTTTCTTCTAGAAGTATCTTTGAAAGCTTTTAGAAAACCTTTCTCAAATTTCAACCATACTACTCTATCCCCTACCATCAATAGCTCTGCCAGGATTTCTTTGGCATTACTTAAAATTTAGAATCTGTTTCTCTTTTTTAGTCTTTTCATGAGAGTGAAGCTGTCCTATATTTATTTATTGTTAATACTGGTTTTTTTCCATAGAACATATTCTGTTGGCCTTAAAATATGAAGTATCATTCCTTTTTTTTTTTAACGTTTCATTGTGATTTAGGTGAAACTTAACAAAGCAAATTAGTTTCCCATTCAATAATTTATACATAGACTGTTTTGTGACATTGGTTGCAATCCCCTCAATGTGTCAGCGGCCTCCATACTTCCACTTGGGGTCCCTATTTCCATTTGCCCAGCTTTCTTGCCCCTTCCTTCATTCTGAATTTTCCTTTTGGGCAAATGCTACCCAGTGATCTCCTATAGTTGAATGTTTGAGGAGCATGGTCCTCACTGGTGGTATTACTGTTCACTTTATAGGTCTGTCTGTTGTTTGGTTGTAAGGTAGTCTCTGGGAGTGGAGTCTCTTCTATGTTTGAAGGGTATTTAAAGGTTATAGTCTCGGGGTTCCACCATTCTCTTATCAGACCAGTAAGTGTTATCTTTTTTATGAATTTGAATTTAGTTCTACATTTTTCTCTCACTCTGGGACCTATTGTGATTCCAGTCGGTGGTGGTAGCCAGGTACCATCTAGTTCTTCAGGTCTCAGGCTTGTGGAGGCTGTGGTTCATGTGGTCCATTAGTCCTTTGGACTAATTATTTCCCTGACTTTTTGGTTTTATTCACTCTTCTCTGTTCCAAATGGGAAGAGTTTTATCTTAGCTAGCCATGTACAAGCTTTTAAAGTCCCAGTTACTGCTTACCAATGTTGTTGTTGTTAGGTGCTATCGTGTCATCTCCAACTCACAGAGACCCTGTGCACAGCAAAACGAAACACCGCCCGGTCCTGCGCCAGCTATACTTGAGCCCATCGCCGCTGCCACTGTGTCAGTCCATCTTGTTGAGGGCCTTCCCCTCTTTCGTCGACCCTCCACCTTACTGAGAATGACATCCTTCTCCAAGGAATGGTCCCTTCTGACCACATAACCAAAGTGTATGAGACGAAGTCTGGCACCTCCAAGGAGCATTCTGGCTGTACTTCCTCTAGGACCGACCAGTTAGTTCTTTTCGCAGTCCACGATACTTTCATCGTTCTTTGCCAACACCACAGCTCCAAAGCATCAATTTTTCTTCCGTCTTTCTTATTCATTGGTCAGCTCTCACATACGTACGAGGTGATTGAAAATACCATGGCTTGTGTCAGGTGTACCTTAGTCCTCAAGGAGACATCTTTGCTCTTCAGCATTTGAAAGAGGTCCTTTGCAGCTGATTTGCCCAGTGCTATACGTCATCTCTGGTAGCACAGTGTCTAAGGCACTTGACTGCTAACCAGAAGGCTGGTGGTTCAAACCCGCTAGCCGCTCCTCAGAAGGAAGATGGGGCAATCTACTTCCATAGTGATACTGCCTCGGAAACCCAAGGAGGGGTCACTATGAGTCGGGTTTGACTCAAGGGCACATAACAACAATAACAAATACGTCATCTAGTATCCTGCCTGCTGCTTCCATTGGTGGCAATTGTAGAACCAAACAATGTGAAGTCTTTGACAATTTCGATCTTTTCTCCATTTATCGTAATGCTGCTTATAGGACCAGTTGAAGATTTTTGTTTTCTTTATATTGAGATGTAATCCATACTGCAGACTGTATTCTTCAGTCTGCATCAGTAAGTGCTTCAGGTCATCTTCACTTTCAGCAAGCAAAGTTGTGTTGTCAGTGTATCACAAGTTGTTAATGAGTCTTCCTCCAATCTTGATGCCACATTCTTCTTCATATAGTCCAGCTTCTCAGATTATTTGCTCACCATACAGATTGAATAAGTATGGTGAAAGGATATAACCCTAACACACTCCCCTCTTGATTTTAAACTATGCAGTGTTCCCTTTTTTTGTTCGAATGACAGCCTCCTGGTCTATGTACAGGTTCCTCATGAGTACAATTAAGTGTTCCAGAATACCCATTCTTCTCAATGTTATCCATGATTTGTTATGATCCACACAATCAAATGCTTTTGCATAGTCAATAAAACACGTAAAGTAACATCTTTCTGGTATCCTTTGCTTTGAGCCATGATCCATCTGACATCAGCAATGATATCCCTCGTTCTACATCCTCTTCTGAATCTAGCTTGCATTTCTGGAAGTTCTCTGTCAATATACTGCTGTAAATGTTTTTGAATTATCTTCAGTAAGATTTTACTTGCATGAGATATTAATGATATTGTTTGATAATTTCTACATTCTGTGGGATCACCTTTGGAATGGCTACAAATATGGATCTCTTTCAGTCAGTTGGCCAGGTAGCTGTCTTCCAAATCTCTTGGCATAGCCAAGTGAGTGCCTTCAGAAGGGCATCGTTTGTTGAAATGTCTCAGTGGGTATTCCGTCAATTCCTAGAGCCTTATTCTTTGCCAGTTCTTTCAGTGCAGCTTCAACTTCTTCCTTCAATACCTTGATTTTTGAACATATGCCACCTCCTGAAATGGATGGATGAAGATTGACCACTTCTTTTTGGTACAGTGACTCTGTGTATTCCTTCCATCTTCTTTTGATACTTCTGCATCATTCAATATTTTGCCCATAGAATCTTTCAATATTGTAACTCAAGGCTTAAATTTTTTCCTCAGCTCTTTCAGCTTGAGAGATGCCGAGCATGTTCCTCTCTTTTGGTTTTCTAAATCTAAAGAAAAGGTCTTTACACATTTCATTGTGGTAATTGTCTTTGTCTGCTGGAGCTGCTTTTTGAAATCTTCTGTTCTGCTCTTTTGTCTTTGTCTTGTCATTTCTTCCATTTGCTTTAGCTACTCTCCACTCAAGAGCAAGTTTCAGAATCTCTTCTGAAATCCATTTTGGTCTTTTCTTTCTTTTTC